CCTCAACTTTGCAAATAATGTGGACATCAGGAATCCAACATTGGCTTTTCTTTGGTGGCCATTTAAACGACCGTGCAGGACCATTAGGACACATAAATTTTAAAAGCACATCTTTTTCTTCTAAATTAATATTTTCAATGACTCCTATCCACCACTTTTGCTCAAATGAAACACAGGCATAATCACCTGGAACTAGGTTTACAGTTGTTATCTGGATATTTCCAAAGTCATGAATTAAAGCAAATTCTTCATCAACACTGAATAGCTTAGTGCCTACCTAAACAAAATAGTAACATATGCAATTATTCCGTTTTACTTATCAAACATGTTTTATTAAACGCATAGATAGCAAATGCAGTGGAAATAAAATAAAATACAAATATTTTTGATAATGATTCTGCAAAAATCTAATATCTATTTGAGTTTATCAATAAAAGTTATGCGTGTATTTTAAAATATGTTAAAAGGTATAATTAAAAAATAATAATAATTTATCTTTTGATGGCCAAGTGGTACAAACTGATGGTAACTACGTGTTACAGGTATTGTTTTAGCAGTATCCAATCGTTCTTTAAGAGCGGTTCTCACCAAAGTTAAATCTTCTGATGAAATATATATATGAAATTAATACCTTCAATGTTTTCATTGCAATATTTATACATTGTTTGTGGAGATAAAATATGATTATCCATATCTCTTTACAAACTTGCTAGTGTTGCCAGACGTTTGACTGTACCACCTATCCCATCACAAGGTTGCTTACCGTGACTAGTTGCAAAAAAGTTCCATTTAGCAGTAAAACCAAAATCTTCACAATGGAAACAAAGATTTAACATATTTTTGCAAATCTTATATTGACCTGCACACCCATCTGAAAAGTATTCAATATTTTTTATTTGAGGCAAATTTGTTCTTATATCATTGCGAACAACCTCAATAATTTTATAAACCATGTTCACATCATGGATCATATATCCGAAATAATACAATAGGATTTGTGCTTGAGAATGCCTTCTTTTTTGAAATAAATAATCACTGGATGAAGTGTACATTGTAAATTTGTCCAATGAAAGCTTTGCACTTCATCCTGAACTACAAATTTATAGTTTTCTGAAAAATCACCCAGATATAATGCTGTTACCTCATTTATATCTTCTTTTCTTGATCTCAGGTATAATGCTTGACTCTTTGCTAAATACAAATGTGGTACAAGTTTTTCCAGTTTTCTACATACTAGTTCAATGTATTTAAACACTGGCTCTTTATTATGTGTCAAGTTTGACCTATCTGTTGTTGTCCATTGATCAAACTCATCATCATCTTCAAATTCTCCAAGTATGTCATAAAGTTTTTCAACCAATGCATTCATAGTTGCTGGGCATTTTTCACATTTCCTCATCATACAGTCTTTATTAGTTATATCACAGACAATATAAGATAACAATTATTTGTATGTCACACCAAGAGGATGTAAAAGCAGTTTCAAAGTCTGATGAATAGCACAGACGCATACAGAATGTGTTCCTGAGGCACCAACAGTAATACATCATTTAGGTCGCAAGGTACAAAACCTTGAAAATTCTATTTTTATTTCTGGGTTCTTGGTTTTAAAGGCAACAAACAATTCCTTTAAATTACATAAGAGCAAACGTTTTTGCATGTGGACATTTTTCTTTATGCTTACATAGTCCTTTTTACCAGGCATTCTACGGCTATGTTCATCGTCTTCGTAAAAGGTCTTGACCAGTTGAACTGTTACATCAGGAAGAGCCTTTCCTAATTTAGGATTAGGCATGGTTAAAATACCTTTTTTTAATGTTAACTTACATGCAGTTCGAGCAACATAGTTTAATACATGCAATGTTTCAGATACCTTTTTTATTGACCAGTCTGTTGGAGCAAGTGTCGCAAGTTGTACTTTTTTTGATGTTGATGTAGACTCTGCAATTTTGTTAGTTAACAATACCATCATGTTATCAAACAAGTTTGCTTTTTCCATATACTCATTATTAAAAATTGACTGTTCTTCAAAACTTTCTTCTGATATATTAAGGGAAATGGCTACCTTTTTATTAATGGAGGTTGTTAATGCTGTCAATTTTCGTTTACCTTCTCTGATTTTACCTGACTTGTGCAATCCTTTGACCTTAATTAGAGATACTCCGCCAGATGCAAAGTGTGTGTCTACACTTTCTTTTTTATTTCGAATGGATCTTTCATTAACAATATCAAAATCTTCATCATTTTTATTTTCACTTATACTTTTTGATAAACATGTCATAACTTTACTTCGACAGTTTTTTTCCAGGTATAAGATTTAAAACTATGGTTTCTGCTTCTAACACAGTATGCATTGTAATCACACGTAGAGATGCTTAAAAAGAAAGTAATTGCATTACTTAAATAACATTAATTATATATATTAGTAATTATATTACTATACAATTTGTTATATTAATAACTATGAAACATTGAACAAATCTTATTACCAAAAAAACTTATATGACTTAATATCGTTATTAATAATAACGATATAAGTTAATGACTTTCATTAACTTATATCGTTATTATTAATAACGATATAAACTAATAAAATATAAATATATAAACTTTTACCTCTACACACCTTTTGGTGACTTAAAAATAAATAACTGCAACTTTTCTGATTACCCCCATATCTTACAACTAACATACCATGATGGTGTGTGCATATATTAGTAATTTGTTCGTGTTTCAGATTTGTTCGTTTTTCAAGTAGCTTACGATCATTGCTGTCAATATCTTCAATCAGATTTCTTTCTTGAGTCTATGATTGTTTATAACAAGCTCCATAATTATTTACAAAGCAGCAATTAATTTTGTTATCCATATAAAAATATAATTTGGAATCTCTGTCTAAACACTTAATACAAGAAATCTTAAATAATCTTAATGTCCCTAACAAGAACATATTGATATGATATCAATATGTATTTATAAAGAACATATTGCTTGAACAAGTAGCTCTTAGTTTAATAGATATATTTTTAATTTGTGTTGTGTAAAAGTAAAAGATATATAATTTTATTTAGTTATGTAACTTAACATGGTAATGTTAATTAGACATTATTATATCATTTTATTACTTTTTTTATTGATGATAATAAATGTTTTATTACAACAAAACAATCAAAAACAAAAGTTACATAATATTGTTAAATTTAATGACATGATATTATGTAATGAAAATGACATTATTATTATGTAATGAAAGTAAAAAAAAACAAATTTATAAAATGTTCAACTATGTTTTGTAATGAGTTTGTAAATTTTTTACAAAGCTATTGCAAAACAAAAATAATTGTATTTGTATTCAAAATATATTTGCAATTTTTTTTTTTTGCAAAATATCTTTAGAAAAATTGAAAAACAAAAACATCAATAAATCCTTGATAAAACATAAGGCCAAATAAAAATTGGTTCGCAAAGTAGATATATGTTTAATATTTAAAATAACGAAAACCAAAACTTTTTTTCATCAGTCAGATTTTTTCTAGAACTATAGTTGTCAATGGCCTTTTTTATTGTCATTAACAAGTGCGTTTTGTGGATCTAAAAATAAACTATATTTTATTGTTTTGAGAGATATAAATTTATGATTTTCAGATTCAGCAGGTTTTAAACTCTTTTGGTACCAAGTTTTAGATTCGCAACATTACTACAAGTTTGTTAAAAGGGTAATGGTAAATTGACATATTTCCGGCTTTATCCCGCCTCTTTTTTCAGTCAAAAAATAACTAACTTCAAGTTGCAGTAAATTTTCAAGGGTTGAGAATTTTTTGAAAAAATTTTACAGCTTTTCCTAAATTTTATCTTTAACATTTGTAACAAATTTCAGCGAATTTGGTGATGCAGGGTGCAACCCCTTGTTTTTTGAGAAATTTTTACCTATGGGGGATTCCTTAGCGTTTTATAATCTATAGTTTAAAACGCTCTAAGATCTTTTTAGTTTTGCCATACTGTTATAAAATAATATTGCTATTAGAAAATAATAATCAACTGCGATACTGTTAATTTTTTTTTTGCTATAAATACAGAAAGAATAAAAAATTTTCAAAATTTATGAGGGATGTCTTTAACCACTAGTGACAGCGTACTAAACAACTGAACTATCAATGATATGCGTTTAGGAGAAAAACAAATCTAATTATAAATCTCTTATAAGCTCTAGGTATGATAAAAACACATGTTAACTTTTTTGCGCTTAAAACAATTTTTTTAAATGAATTATTTTAGGTAAAAATATTGAAGAAAACAAAGGTGTCATCAGTGTTGAATAGATAAGTATAGAAATGGTAGATTTGGTAGAGATCCATATAACTTATGGTTCCGGAAAGCTAGGATATAAGGAAAAAGTATAAAGTTCAGTGTGGAATAGACTTACGGGTCAGATCAACTAGTAATAATAATAATAAAAAAATCTTTTTAATAAAAAAAGTTAAAGTTGACAAAAATATACAACCACAAGCAAAAACTTGTTTGATTTCAAGTGAATCCTAAATCACGATTCCTGGTAGCTTAATAATTTTAGAGTTTTATAATCTAAATATTTTTTAGTAAAACTACATATCTAAATAGTTTTAAAAATACAGGGTTATTAATCCAGAAGAAAGAAATAGTATGACACATCCTACGACACAGTGTATTCAGTTGTGCGCTTTTGTTGTACAACAAGAAAGTGTTTCAATTATACAACATTTTTGCACGACATTTTTGCAACTATTGGAAACCAAGCTTAAAATTTATAAAAATTATTTTAGAGAATTTGTGACTGATTTAGTTAGAATTGACTGATTTAGTTAGACTTAATTGCAAACAATAAATATGACAAATTTCTTATAACGGTTGTCTTTTATTTGCATTCCCGCTTAAGTGTTCGCCAATACCCCACTCTTCCCTACGCAATCGACTTTATTTTCATACTTAACATTTTTAAACTAATAATAGTAAAGTAAAAATAGTAAATTAATAAATTAACATCATATAACTTTGCAACCACTCCGATTTAACAACTCAATTTTCGGAAACATCTTCATTTTAATTGATAATAACATTAATTAAACAATGTTTAATTTTATATGTAAAGTTTTATTTTTGAGTAGATAATTATAAGATGATTTGATCTACCCCCGGGTATTCATGGCAAGTTATTTAATGCATTAGAAGTAAAGGTGTTATAAAAACTGAAGCACTTGCAATAACAGTTTACTAATTGTTGGTTTCCAGTCACAATTTAGGGATACTTTTGGCGACATTTATTTTTCCACTGGTGAGATTGTGTATCATAGCTGCAATCTGTGTTTGCTTTTCGAGATCTTCTTGCATTTGCGATATAGTTTCTTCTCTATCTTTGATTGTCTGCTCATGTTGAACACAAACAGACTCTAACGAGGACACCTAGTGTTAAATGGACAAAAATGTATTGTGTTCAATATATATATATATATATATATATATATATATATATATATATATATATATATATATATATATATATATATATATATATATATATATATATATATATATATATATATATATATATATATATATATATATATATATATATAATTATATAAACAAACAACCAATCAACTTGTTTCTTGGTTTTATAAAAAAAATTAACTCTTAAAAAAGTCTTCATTTTTTTTTAAAGCGCAAAAAATATAAAATTACAATTTTTTTATCGTATTAACATTCTTTTAGTCGTTGGTTTTTTATATCAGCTGTTAATTATATACATTTCATTTTAGTTAATTATCGTGCCCAAGTAATGGACCTGGGTCCAGTAAATCAAGTCATTATTGCAGTTTTGTTTTATTTTAATTTTTGCTAAAAATAGAAAACCTATTTTTTTTTTATTTCTATATTTGTTTTCCAAAATATTTAAATATTTAAACTTTCCAAAATATTTAAAAATTTAAATTCTCCAAAAATTTAAAAAATATATATAGCGTAATGAATCATACTACAAAAATGTTCAATAAATTTATCTTATGAGTTCATTAAAAATATTTTAATGGGCACCTGAAAAAAATATATAATTATATTTTCATGATTACGAAAACAAATAAAGTGTTGCTTTGTTCCTATATAGTATTTTAAAGCAAAAAATAAAATCAATAATGAAAAAATACAAAGAAAATGAAAACTAAATCTGGATGAACAATTACTTGATATTTCATCTCTTTTAAAGTCTTCTCACGAACTCTAAGTTCTTTTTCATAATGACTTATTCTACCTAAGTATTCGTCAACTTCTCTTTGTTTTTCAGTTATTTGCACCTCAACTTGATTAATATGCTTTTTCATCTCTAAACAAAGAGTTTAAAAAATTATTTTTTCTTAAAATTGTTTTATGTTTTCAAAGAACAAATAAACTGTTTAACCATTTATTTTATTCTCTTTTTCTTTTACAGAATCTGAAATTTTCAAATACTCTTCTTCCATTATTTTAATTCTATCACTGGAACTAAAGAATCACAAAGAAAAGTGTTAAAAAAAATTTATAACTAATTTAAATATAAATGCATATATATATATATATATATATATATATATATATATATATATATATATATATATATATATATATATATATATATATATATATATATATATATATATACATATATATATATATATATATATATATATATATATATATATATATATATATATATATATATATACACGAATATACACAGATGATATATCAGTGTATATATGTATATATATGTTGTTCAACGCATTTAGAAGCCATTTTGCTTTTAATGTTTTTATTACTTATCAACCATCTCAACGTTTTTACAACAAATTTGTTCACTATATATAGTATTTAAAAATTCAACTCTTGTCAACAATCAATGGTCGTTATACAAAACATTATAATAATAAAAATATGCAACGTGTGACTTTTGTCAATAATTAGCAAAACTAATTATTGACAAATTATTGACACACATTAAAATCACAACATCTCCCCCAGCTCAACAAGAGCTCATACATAATTGTGATACTTTTAGTTAGGAAGTACTCTTTTCCCATAGCGAGTAAACCGAACAGGCTGTAACTCTGTCTAACAATTTTTTGGATAGTTTTGATCAGCGCGGTGCATACTATTGTCATCTTTGCCGTCGTCTAGGGAATTTATCTGAGAACTTGGATCTTCAATTGCGACGTGTTTTAAGTTTGTTTTGGGAGGTTTAACCAGTGTAGGATTGTAATCGTCATCAGTTGTTATATCTTTTTCGTTTTTGTCTACACGACGATGCTGCAGATGTGAAAAATGTTGTGGCAATGTATGTCCGTTGACTTCAACTTTAGCTGTTAAACCATTATGCAGTACTACTATACTTCCTTTTAACTTTCCATCCTTGACACTTATTCAGAGACTTTTGTGTTGATTGGACTTTGTCGATTCTAGGAATTCGGACGCGTTTGTATTGTTGGCAAAAGACTTCAAAAGGTGTGCCGTGTTTTGATGGTACGTTGTTGATTAAGAAAACAGACATGGGTATTCCAAGGGTATTGAATTGCATTCATCACATTCATTCTAAAATTTGTTTCACTGTGTCTCTGCTAACGTGGATACCAGCACGCGAGCATAACTTCATACTCTTGGAAACTCCCATGTGTGCTATTGAGTGACCTTTTTTAATCTGCTGATGATCGTGCTTATAGATGATATTACATTCTTGCGTCGCAACATTGTTTTTAACCAATTTGTTGGCACTTGTGTGAGTTCTTCTGCGATATTTTTTGTTGTTGGTACCCATGTAACATTTACACTTATGGCATAATCCTCGACCAAATTTTCAAATATTTGAAGCCTTCGTCGGATTAGCATTTCACATTGCCCAGCACATTTTACAGGTTTGTCATGAGTCAATTCAGAACTTAACCAACTGAATACACTATTAGAATCAGTTTTGATAGAGACATCACTTGGGTTCCATTTCAATGCCATATTGAGACCTTCAATACATGCATCCAATTCAGCCACGTTGATATGCATTGCATCAGACTTTGGTCGAAGCCAAGTTGCATCTATTTTTTTGTCACCTTGCATTATTACAACTCCTTCTGCCAGCGAACTTGCATCACATCATACAGTTAGAGATGCATTTGGTTTGACATTCCAAACACCTTTTACTGGATCACATTTGATAACTTTATCTACGACTTCCTGCATCATTTCATTTATACACTTATTCGTAATAGGTTCTCAACCTGCTTCGTTTGTACATCTCTTTATAAAGCTGCATGCAAATCTCAACCATCCAGCAACTGGTAAATTAGCAACCAGATTACCACATAATAAGAATATCTCCCTCTTGATGACCACATTTTCAATAATAGGAATCTCGCGTCCTCTCTCCCAAAACATTTCCTTTGTAGATAAATTTACTGTTACTTCCAATCCTAGAGCACGAACTGGGTTTTTGCCAAAATATTCAGGTGTTTTCTCGTGAAGACCCCATTTCTTCATATGTGCCACCAGCTTCCTTCCATTTCCATTGGTTGCTAAGGTGTCATCAATGTATCCTCTTGTTGATTTTGAATGTGCAGAATTTTGTTGGAGAACATATCGTAATATTGAGCTCATCATCACAGATGTTAGGTTCAAACCAAAACCCAAACGTGTAAGCGCACATCGTTGATCCTTGTGAATTACAGTTTGGTAAGGCCAATGTTGTTTATGCACATGAATTTGTAGGTATACTCTTTTTAGATCCACCACCAAGTTGTTGTTGTTTTTGCTCATGAGTCTTTAGTCCCTCATTGCATCGTTGATGACATCCGCATCCCTTGTAGAGGCTTTAACATAGTTGTTAAGTTCGCAATAATCAAGCACCGGTCTTATCTTCTTTTTATTATCTTGACTAATGCACATTATTGGTAGTAATCCTTTAGATTTTCCCATAATTTTATTGTCATATTTGATAAGTATGCCTTCTTTGATCCATTCATTAATTTTGTTGCGGAACACCTCACGATGTTGGTTGGATACGTTGTACTGACTTGTTCTGTTTTTCATTTTAGGTTCTGTCTCCCACACCCAACCTACAATCCATTTTTTGCCATCAAAATAAGCTTTGCTTGTTCCAATTTCAATTGTCGCAACACGAGGTGTCAATGATAATTTAATCAGAGAATTACAGAATTTCAATTTTCCAGTGCCAATTTTCAGTTCATCACACGACTTTATTAAATCCATACCCATAATCATGTCGTACTTGTTTATTACTTCATCCACACACAACACCAATGCATCCACCAAGCACCCGTTTGTTGGGTGGTGTATTTTAGAAACAACTTCACATCGAATTATTCCACCCATTGTTGCAACATTCACTACACAAATTACTTTATAGTCAGATGGTAGTAACTTCTTGGTGATGATTGATTGCGAGCAACCAGTATCCACAAGCGCTGTAGCGTTTCTTCCCTTTATTACCAAGTCGATAGTAGGTAGTATTGTTTCGGGATGAGTTTTTGTAGAAATACCTAATGCGAACTTGTCCCATTTAAGTTTCCATGGTTTTGTCAACGTTTGTAGCAGTCCTTCGCAGCATGTTTATGCAAGCATTTCTTGCATAAGGAGGTACACTCACGTGCAAAGTGATTCAATGATTGGCAGTTGAAACATTGCATTTCTTTCTTTCTTTGTATATCATTTGACATTACAGTCCCAGTTGTTCGGTAACTTGCATTTACTTCTTCATTTACAGATAAACATGCCGCATCTAATCTAGTTTGTACAATCTCGGATACCATTTTGACACAATCGTCTAAGCTCAACGCATTTTTTCTACAAAGAATGGAAAACAGAGCAGCACAATCATTGATCCCAATAATGAATTAATCACGAAGTCGTCCATCTCTCTCTGAAGGCATGAACTTGCATTCTTGAGCTGCTCTGATCAATCGATGCGCAAACATTTGTATCGATTCTTCATCACCACGATAAGTTTTCCCAAATTCATACCGTGAGATTAACAATAATTTTCTAATTTCCAACGTTTCCAGTTTCGTCACCAACTCTTCATACGAAACGTCCTCAGGCAGTTCAGGTGCTGTTAATTCCTCCATGGTCTTGTAAATCTTTGACGGCAGAGTAGCAAGCAAGTACGCTATGTGTCAATCAGAAGTGAATCACGAAAAAAGAAGTCAACTGCCAAATAAATCGCTTTGGCTGTCCATCTTCATATTGCAGAGATAATAGACACCCCCGGTTAGCTTGTTGTTCAACGCATTCAGAGGCCATTTTGTTATACAAAACATTATAATAATAAAAATATGCAACGTGTGACTTTTGACAATAATTAGCTTTGCTAACTATTGACAAATTACTGACGCAAATTAAAATCACAACAATTTATACACAGATATATATATATATATATATATATATATATATATATATATATATATATATATATGTATATATATATATATATATATATATATATGTATATATATATATATATATATATATATATATATATATATATATATATATATATATATATAAATATATACATATATAAATAAATATATATAAATATATATATAAAAATATATATGTATATATATGTGTGTATATGTATATATATATATATATATATATATATATATATATATATATATATATATATATATATATATAAATGTATATATGTATATAAATATGTATATATGTATATAATTCCAGCTAGTGTGGTACCAACTCAACCTTTAAAACCAAGGTCCACTACTAAAGTGTTGTCTTCTATCAGAACTGAAAAGTGTGATGAGTTGTCGCAATATTTAAAAAACGATTGGTTTACATTCATTTTTTTATGTGAAGATATTAAAAATCTTATATATTTGTCCTGTAACAACTTTGGCTATAAATGATGTTTTGCACATCTAACCAAATTCCTTTTATGTTAACTGTATAACTATGTTTGCTGTTCATATCTCAAGCAATTTTAAATTTGAAAGTTTTCATGCTGGTGTTCGTTGTTTTATTTCTTCACTATCAAAAAATCGTATCACATATCTTGATCGCTGGTTAAGAGATAAAGAAATAATTCGCTTTTTGAACAACATTGAAATTGATCATCAAAAGATATTATTACAAGATCTTATTACTTCTATAAATAAATCAGAAGTAGGTAAAAAAATTATAATGCAGAAACTATAATCAGGTCGCATTGTTATTTTTCAACGTCTTGAAGCTTTTACGATCAGGTACGAAAAGATTTTAAACTGTCAAGTTTAAAAACATTAACAAAAATTACATCTATGACAAAAAAAGTTTAAAAAAAGTTTTTTTTATTGACTTTATTAGTACCATTTTTTCAAATTTAGAGGAAAATCATAGAAATTGTATACTTTTGGTGGATGAAGTTTATGTTAAGTCTCTTCTTCTTTATCATGGTGGTTATCTTTTTGGAAAAGCGAAAAATAATCCAGAGTTGTTAGCAAATATTGTTTTGGGTATTATGGATAAATGTTTAAAAGGTGAACCATCTTTTTGATGCAAAATAATACCTGCCTGTCATTTGGATGCTTCTTTTTTGTCATTAATTCGATTAAGTCTAACAATGGAAAAGTAAATAAAAAGAACAAATCAAGCTTTTTTTAAATTATTTGAGAGAGTTGAAGGAAAAACCGTGGTTAACAAAATGTGGAGTTTTTCTCCTTTTTGATTATGTTCATCTACTAAAAAATATAGGAATGACTGGATTACAGAAAAATCGATTGCTGTGTGCAGTGGGTACTTTTTTATTTCATTATTTTTGAAATTGAGAAAAATAAAAAAATATGCAGATAGTCATTGTGTAATACTTTTATGATGATATCTGATATTTATAACTTTAATATGTTAAAGAAACATGGTACAATATTATCAAACATATTTCTTAAAAATTATTGTTTGCTTTTTTCACCCAAGTCCAATAAGGAACCTGCATTGAAGGTTTTAAAGTTATCTGTATAACATTGAAAAGTTATTATGTACATTTTATTTATGACATTATTGATGTAAATTTTGATATTTTTTTCTTTTTACTTGATGTATATTATGATGTTTTTTTCCTTTTTTTTCTTTGCATTATTTTAAAGTTTGTTCATTTTTTTGTGATTTAGATTTTAAATAATTACAACTCATTATTCTGAAAAATATTGTATTTTATTCTTTTTTTCAAAATGTTTTATTTAAATTTGATGATTCTTAATAAACACTGCAATAGACTTTTTTTGCATTAATACAGTACTTTTAAAATTTAGTAAACTAAAATTAATGGATTAGTTCGCAAACTTTTCTAGCTATTTATTATATTTTCCGTAACTTTGTCCGCCCCCAGTCAAAAATACGGATTTGCGACAGGAAGGCCTGTAGTAAGTATCGCCATGGCTTGTATGTATATGTGCATATGAATGTTTATATTTAGATATATGTGTATGTGTGTATACATGTATTTATATATAAAAATTTTTTAAATAATCTTAAATTGTCTAGTTGTTTCATAATTAATAACAGTAACTAAATAATAACAAATTATTCATAATATTAACATTAACTACCAAACCATTTCTGCCTCTAAACAATCTAAAACACATATAATCCATAACTTCTACTAAACAAATTGTAGCAAAATTAACTTTTTACTACTTGTCTGATGATTGTGGCAACACGTGAAACTCTGAATACCAATATTCTATTATAAATGTTAGCATTTAGCTAATTCCTGGTAATGCGGGTAACAGTAACTAATATATTACACAACTCTAGTTTATTTATTTAGCACTCTTTTAAGTATACAAAAATTTACATGATAATACAAAAGTATTCTCTTAGTATTTACATATATAGATTTATATGTATGTATGTATGTATGTATGTATGTATGTATGTATGTATGTATGTATGTATGTATGTATGTATGTATGTATGTGTGTATGTATGTATGTATACATATATATATATATATATATATATATATATATATATATATATATATATATATATATATATATATATATATATATATATATATATATATATATATATATATTATATATATATATATATATATATATATATATATATATATATATATATATATATATATGTTATTTGTTAAGATAAAAAAAATTAGTAGAAAATAAAATACCATTCTATTTTTACTTTTAGAGATTCATTATTTTTCAAAAGACAATCATTCATAGCTGCAAGAGAATGGTTTTCAGCATCAGCTGCCAACAATGACTTCTCCAAAGCATTAACTCTAAAAGGAAAACAAACTTAGAATCAAGCTCTATAAAATATGAAAGTTGTTTATTAAGATCAAAAAAAAAATTGGTTGAATAAAATTGAAACAACTATACTTTTGTGATAGATCATTGAAGTCTGCCTTTAAGTTTTCGTGCTCTGTTACAGTTAGTCGAAGTTGTTGAATTTCTTCTAGGAGAGTGTTTATCTATAGCATTATTTACAATGATCACTAAGACATTTTTGACATAATGATCTATTAATCTTTAAGATTACCAAAGAGCAGCTTCACAATTAAAAGTTAATTTGATTTCTTTATAAATCATTTCGTATATATTACTGAAAAGTAAAATAAGGTTGTACCTTAAATCCTAACCTTAAATCCTAACCCTGCATACCTAACCTTGATCATACCTTTATATCAGAGTCTTGTTTTGATTTTGTAAACTGCTCTATCTAAAGTTCAAAGGAGTTACATGACATGAAATGAGTTAATGAAACAATTTTTAAGTTGAAAATATTTTAAATTTTGATATATATGAAAATTAGGCATTAAAAAGAATACAAAGCTTAAATATCACTTAATTAAATACTTAAACTGCATAAAGTAAAATGTTAAAACCTTTATCGTATCTTTTTCAATGACCTTCTCACTTTGTTGAAGCATTGTGCGAAGCTTTAAACACTACAAAATTTGTTGTTTAATATTTAATGTATGGAAGGCTGCATCATAAATAATACACCATGTGACATTAAAAAAATTATTCTTAATAAAAAAAGTTAATAAAAAAGATTTTTTAACTGTCACACTGAATTATCAATAATCATTTTATTATTATATATTATATATTACCATATAATATTATATAATCATATTGTGGTTCATTTACTTTCAGTTAATAATTTTAGTAATTAAAAAATAATTTTTAGTAAAAACAACCTAAAAATTGACATTTATTTAAAAAAATAATAAAATTATTATTTAAAAATTTTCTCTCATGATGAAATAAATTTTTTTCTTTTTCTAATAATAAATAACTTTATGCAGATCAAAGATCATCTTCACCAATATAACTGAAGCTATTATATTGTTATATATGAGGGAATTATATATACCTTGTTAAGAAATGCTTTAAAATCAATAAAAAAAAGAAATGTTTAGCTGCTGAAACATGAAGATGAGAAACAGTTCCAATGTATTGATGCGCAAAGAAGAAAAAAAAGATAAATACCAGTTTTTAGAGCATGAGGAGACATATACAGTATAAGGATACAACTTGACAAAACAGATTGTATATGTTTAACAAGATTTATGTGTTTTTGGACCTTGTCTAAAAGAGAGAGGGACTCATAAGACAAAACAGCCCAAATATGACAATAGTATTCCATAGAGAAAAAGAATGAAATCAGAAGTAAGAAAAAAACATGCATGATTTTTTCAAGAAAGGTTGTCTACCTTAGCATATACTATTTTTGCAAAAAATTATATATCCATTTTCATGAGAGGTCAGTATTGAATGATGATCCAAAAAGACATAAACTATTGAACTCTGTAGGAATTTTGCCATTCATTGTTTACATATTCATTCATTAGGAATATCAACATTATTGTGATAATAACTATCAGTAAACAACTGAGTTTTGTTCAACAACTTGAAGGAGTGTAAGACTTGAGTGAAGGAGTGTAAGACTTAGGTGAAGGAGTGTAAGACTTAAGTGAAGCCTTAGCAAATCTACAGGCGCGATGGTTAGGTTGTAATAAAAATAATTTTTCTGAATTAGAATAAAAATTCCTCCAATAAAAATAAAAACTGTACACAGCAAGAAACGATTGCTAGTATTATTTAACATTGCTTGGGTGCAGTGTATGTGCCAAAGGTGGTTCCTTCAACATTGGTTGGGTGCAGTGTGGCATGTGCAAAAGGTGGTTTCATCAATATTGTATAATTATTTGTGATACAGAGAAAAGTGTAATGTGTGACATAGAGAAATACGAGTGTTTAGCATACTAGGGTGAAGATAAAAAAGGTCTTAATCTTTATATTTATGAAAAACTCTCTGTGCGCAACAATAAGTTTTAGACGTTGATTATATTTGATTGCAGATAGAAAGTGAAAAAACGAAAAGAAAAAACATTTAAAAGTAATATGGGCATTTGTGAGAGCTCTCTTCTTCAGGCGCATAAAGATATTAAGATTGAGTCACAAGCTTCCCATGGTAATGTATTTGTAGGTAATCAAAACAAAAGAGTCTCACGAAACCATTATAAACTTTGTAATGTGATAGGTGAAGAGATTAGAGATTTTTATGTCAGTGTTTTTAATAAGTTGCAACCTATACTTTTTAGACAAAGAAGGTTTAAGTCTCTAATGTGAGAAAGTGAGTTGTGCATTCTGAGCATGGAGAAAATTTCTTTATAGGCACAGCTTTTGTCTTATTTGCAGCCATCAAATATAACTTGAATGTTAAAAATAAAATAAAATTAAAAAAATATATATTAAAATAAAAAAAAATATTTATCTAATAATTTAAATATTAGATCCTTGATTTATAAAAGAGAGTTTTTTTAATATACTTTGGTATGTTTGTGTAATATTTTTTAAAAATATTTTCTTTTATTATATGTAACATTGTTTTTATATATTAGATGCCCATTCTATTCTTATCGTCAGAAGTTTATTCTAGTTTACTTCTGCAGTTTTATAAGCATTACAGTTTATTTCAGTTAAATTGTAATGTAAATTGAAATCTTGGCTCTGGTTAAAAAATGGAATATAAATCCAAGTATTAACTGGGTGTGCAAATATTGTTTACTACATAGAGAAATTATGTGTGGACCAAATGACTATAAAACAGTTTTTAGTTTATGAGAATAACAACAAGTTAACAAGCAATTTAAATTAGCTATATGTATATTTAAATGACCAAAACTTGTTTTTGTTTAAATTAAAAATTTTAATTGATTCAAGTACCATAAAATTATTCTAATACCAAAAGTGAGGATAATTAAAAAGTTAATACTCTATTTTAGTCATGTAATAATTTTTGTTGAACTTTTTATTCAGTTTTTTTATTTATTAATATTCTACACCTTATTAGAATTGCATGTACAAAAAGGAAGTTTTTTAAAGAATGAGGCATGTTCAAGCTCTGTTGCTTGGCATATTTATTCTAAAATCTGTAATTTTGTAATGCAATAAATATTATCAACTTTTTAAATTCTCAAGAACTTCAATAATTGTATATTTATACAATTATATTTATTATATTTACCAATTAAACAGGTGCACCAATGCCTACTTTGATCGATGTCGATGCATAAGCATCAGCCCTAAATTCCAATTTGTCCTATTTTATTAAAGTAAATAAGGATTTATATATATATATATATATATATATATATATATATATATATATATATATATATATATATATATAACAGGACAAATTGGAATATATATATATATATATTCCAATTTGTCCTGTTTTATTAAAGTAAATAAGGATTTATATATATATATATATATATATATATATATATATATATATATATATATATATATATATATATATATATATATATATATATATATATATATATATATATATATATATATAACAGGACAAATTGGAATATATATATATATATATTCCAATTTGTCCTGTTTTATTAATTAAAGTAAATTAGGATTTATATATATATATATATATATATATATATATATATATATATATATATATATATATATATATATATATATATATATATATATATATACACAACCCTCAGAAATAAGAAAAATGAGGTTGTTAATTATTATATACTTTAGCTTATACATGCTTTTTGGTTTATGGAACAATTTCATTTTTGCTTAGAATATAGAAACACTAATGTGAAAAATCTAATTTTTCAAAACAATAGCCTTTTTTTTTTTACTGAACAAAAATATCTCTAATATTTTAAAAGTTATAAAGGTATTAGTACCCTTTAGTTGATATAAAAAAAAACAACAACAACAAGGTGTTAAGCTCACATGAAACAGTCATGTTGTATTGCTGTTAATCAAGTTATTGATAATAACAGCAATAGTGTAGCAGAATATCTAAATGATGAAATGAAAAAAATATCTAGATGATGAAATGAAATAGATTTTTTTTTAAATAATTTAAAAAATATATATATTTCATTTCATCATCTAGATATTTTTGTACAACCGAATATGAGGTGGAAACATCAAACACAAGTTTGTTTTAAAAAAACTTCAAAATAAATGAGGTAATTAAAAAATGAGTTTAAAAGTAGAGATTGTAAAATGTGGGAAATTTTGTACACTACCTACATGTCAAAAAAGTTCTACACAAAAATAACACACAAAATGCTTATTTATAAAAAGCTACTAGTTAAAATGAGTTTAACCACTTTAAATCTTAGAAGAAAACATTGAACATTTGGAAATAGTCAATCTTAATGTCAAATGAGTTTTAAAGTCAAATGTTGAAATAGTTTTAGACCATTTTTTTATCTAGAGGTCACAACCATAAAATCAGGATGCAGTGCTTATCTCTCACATAATAGATATTTTTGTGCATCCGTTAGTTTAAGAACTTATTTCTTCTCAAACAAAGTGTGTCTAATTGTTAATAAATGATTTTTGTGCATCCGTTAGATTAAGAACTTATTTCTTCTCAAACAAAGTCTAATTTGTTATAAACTTCCAGTTGCAGAGTCTGAAAACTGGAACAAGTTTAAAGAAAGTCTAATTTAATGGTTTACAAAAAATGAGAAAACTTTGGATTAAAGCAACAACAAAAAAAAGTAATGGGCTGCTATAGCTGAATGTTGCTACACCTTAGCTTGTGGATAAGATCCACACCTATCTATATATTTTAAAAATAATGATCTTTGTATATCCATCAGCTGTAATTTTAAAGTTGCTAATTATATGGACTTAACGTTAAATCTTAATGACAGTTCTTTCAAACCTTACTGCAAGCCTGGTAATTCCATCAGTTATATAAATGCTGACTCTAACCACACTTCCAGCATACTAAAAAGTCTTTCTCAAACTATCCAACTAAGATTGTCAACCAATTCTTCTAACGAAAATATTTTTAAACAATCCATTCCTTCTTATCAAGATGCATTATTTAAGTAAGATTTTATTTACAAATTATTATTTCAATAAAAAACCTTATTATTTCATTAAAAAACCTGTCCTATTCAAAAATCACAAGCAAAACATAATTGGTACAACCCACCTTTCAGTACGAATGTTGCAACAAAAATAGGCAGTCGTTTTTTGAATATGGTAGATCTTTTAGCATTTTCTGGTTGTTTAAACAAACTTTGCAAGATAATTAATCGAAATACTATTAAAATAAGCTACTCATGTATGCCAAACATCAAGTCCATCATTAACTCACACAATCACAGGATATTATATAGCCAAGGTAAATATGAGGGAATAACATGCAACCCTGTCAACAAATTTATCAACAAACCTGACTACAAAGAAAAAGTATATTTTGGCTTATGTGAAACTCCATTTAAATCTTTCTATGCTAATCACCTAAAGTCTTTTAACATTATTAAATAAAGAAATGATATATGAGTTGTCTAAGGAAATTTGGGACATAAAAGACAAAATGTTCAAACCCTCAATTAAGTGGAAAATTGTAAAACGTTGCAATCCTTATAACTCCTTGTCAAAAATTTGTAATCTTTGCTTATACAAAAAATTCCTTAACATATAAAGATAAAAACTTGTTAAACGAAATGAGTGGACGAAATGGAGGCACAAGAATAAATTCATTCAACAAAATGGAGGCACAAGAATAAATTCATCTTATCATTTTTTGACACTGGTGATTAGCTAATATTTTGTTTTTCTACGGTTGCCAACAAATATGTTTTTTAGTGACGTAAAATTGGAATCTTTATATCACTACACAGTATTTTGTAATTTTTAGCGAATTTTTTAGTTTTTAATTTTGTATTCAATGGCTGATGATTGCTGTATAGGCATGAAACTTAAAGTACTATAGAAAAAGTTGTTTTTTTCTTTCTTAATATATATATATATATATATATATATATATATATATATATATATATATATATATATATATATATATATATATATATATATATATATATATATATATATACATATATACATATATATACATATATCAAAACTTGATAAAAAAAAATTATAAAAAAAGCATACCTCTGCTTCTGATTGAGCTTGTCTACATCTGTATTGAGCAATTAGACGATCAGATTGTGTTAATGCCAATGTTTTAGCATTTAAAAGATCTTCAAGGTGAGTTTCTCTTCCCTATAAATAAAGATTTTTAGCTTACAATTTTTAGCAATAATAACTAAAGGGGTCAAAAATTGATTAAATTTGTTTAGCCATTTAATTAGTTTTGAAAAATTTTTATGTTAAATATTTAACATAAAAACATTGTGTAATTTGGACAGGTTTGTAATGGATTTTCATATTTTATGAATAAAAAAGAAAATTTTTAAACAACTTAATTATCTACTTAGCCTTACTAGAAAGCTCTTCCCTCACCCACAATAATATTGGGAGTTTTATATCAGTGTTTTTTTTCTCCTAGATATGTTGCCTTCACCGCAGCTAGGGAAACTCACCTGCCCAAGCTCATAGAATTAAATGCATAATATATTATACATTATGTTTATATATGTATTTATATATGTATTTGCTACTTATTTATTTAATGCCATACAATATGCACGCATAAGCCTGCTGGCCCTACACACTATGCTAAAAACCGGCATAGGTCTTTCATTAACTTTTTGCCAAAGAAAAACGTTAAACTTATTGTTTACAAAGCCTCAATATATAATTTTAAACACCTTCACTTCTAACGAGGTTGCATGCAACCACTAATAGAGTTAGTAGTTACTGAAAAAGAAAACATGAAGTTTATAAGCAAGATAACAATTAACAGACGACTTAAAATATTATATGAATCAGGAAAACAAGATAAAGGGAGTGAATTCCAAAGAACTGTTGCTTGAGTAAAAAAACTAGAAAAAATTTTTGAATGCATTTAGAAGCAGTCACAGTAAAAGGATGAGACTTAATTATTTGACGATTATTACAAGAATGAATTTTAGTAGATGGCACAAGAGATGCTAGCTCTTTAAAGCAGCAAACATAATACTTATAGAAAAGAGAAACAACATTATGACAATGAGACAATGATTAAAGGTTGGCTGCAAAAGCAGGTTCAACAATGTTTATGATGCATTTTTGCACCTTGTCTAAAAGAGAAATGACATCATTCAAAGATCTACTCCAGATATGGCAAAAGTATTCCATACAATGAATTATTTGAGATTTCTAGAGATAAAGAATTGAACCTGAAGTAAGAAAAAGGCAAGCCTGATAAAGTGATGGATTTGAAAACCTATATGAAACCATATAGGTTTCCAAAAAAGATCAAAAGATTTAATCCTATAAGACTAAGGGTAGATGACTTATCAAGTACATTACCGCTCATGAATATAGGAAGATCTAGATTATTGCAATAGCGATTAGATAAGAAAAATTGTGTTTTATCTGAGTTAAAGTTCACTAGTCACTGAGAGCTCTACGTGTAGCAAAATGAGCCCCTTTTTAAGCTCAAATGCCCCTGCAATCAATTGGAAAATGATGGCTTCTTATCAAGACAAGAATAAGTGGTAGTATCATCAGCAAAAAATGCCATCTATGATATGAGAACTTCTGGGAAATTATTAATAAACTTAAAAAAAGTATAGGGCCATGAATAGAATCTTAAGGAACCCCTGAAGTTAAAGGAAATGAAGAAGAGTTCTGTCCATCAAGGACATCTTTGATACTACAATTGGTAAGGAAAGATTCAATAATCTTAAAGATGTCAACTGATACACCATAAGAGGAGAGCTTATGGAAAAGACCAGTATACCAAACTTTATCAAAGGTTTTAGAAATGTCAAGAGCAATAGCCTTAGCTTTTCCAAATCTATCTAACGAACGCTAAAACCTGTCGGTTATTATTATTAACAAATCAGCAGTAGAACAAGAAAACCGAAACCCATATTGATGATCAGAAAGTAAATTATTAGATTCAAGATGAGAGATTAGGTGTTTGTTAATTGAAGACTTAAAAACCTTGCTTATGATAGTAAGAAGGCTAATAAAATGGTAGTTAGACGAGTCAGATTGCTCTCCAAAATTTTTGACAATAGGGATAACAGATGCCGCATTCAAGCAGGCTAGAAAACAAGACTCTAATAAGCATTTATTAAATAGCTCTGAAAGTATAGACAACAACTCCAGCGAACACTTCTGCAAGACTATAACAGGTATGTTGTCTGGACCACAAGCTGTAGAAGATTTTAAGGAGGAAATCACTTTAGATACAGTAGCTCGAGTGGTACAAATGTCAAGCAATGGTCAACCTGTATGTTGACTATATCAGATAGGATGTGATTATTGGAAGCAAGAGATAAGGTTGATAAAGAGTTCTTAGCAAACAATTCAGCTTTGTCTTTAGGTGAGGTAACAAATTCTGAACCATGAAAAAGAGGTGGAATAACAGATTTGCCCTTATTATAAACACTGTTAAAGATTCTCCAGAAGTCTTGGGAGTCTGAAAATAGCGAGCTTGGGCGTTAGACAAAACCTTTTTACAATGATTTCTAGCAATAGTAAACAGACATCTGTTTTCTGGAGAAATGTTTTGCTGATAGATATAAAAAAAATGGTTATAGTTTGAACTTACAGCAGCACAATAAAACCATTGAGAAGAGCGAGGCTTGGCTTAGAATTGTTGAGAGGGAATAAAAGATTCTACGCCAGCCTGAAACCAAGAAGTTACATAAGAAGCACATTTGTCAGCAGGAAGACAAAATATTTTTATCCAAGGGCCATCACAAATAAAATTATGAAAAGAGCCCCAGTCAGCATTAAGGTAGTTGTAAGAGGTACAATGATAGGGGGATTTGGATAATGAAGAAGAATGAGATAACAGTTTTAGATCAAACCGTGATCAGAAGCACCTTAAGAAGAATTTTGAGCAATTGAGCACTGACTAGGATAAGAAAGAAGACATAAGTCGAGTAGAGAAGGTCAATTATTTGGATTGTCTGGAAAGTGATTTGGAAAGTTGAATTTTTGTGATAGAGATTGAGAAAGGCAAAAGTTGTGGGCTTTAACACCTGCAGAGTCACTAATATTAGAGCCATTCCATTCAATGTGATGAGCATTAAAGCCACCAAAAACAATGATATTGGCTAAAGGATAAAGAGAGTCAATTTTGCAAACGACCATGAACAAGTTGTCTAAAATAAAATATTTATGCGTGGACATACTAGACGAAAAAAATATTTACTAAAAAGTAATAAAAGACATTTACCACATTTTTTATTTAATGTCCTCTCTCTCAGTATCAATCACAATTTCAAGTTGACTCCTGAACCTGGAACAGCTAGTCTTTTCTTAAGGAATTTCAGAAGTTTCTTTGATCTTTCAAATCTTTTTTCTTTGACACTTGGGAAAACCAGGTATTTCTAAATCCTGGCTGTTGACTTTGTTTTAAGATCCTTTCTAACCACGTTTCTGATAGTGTGCTCACTCACATAGAGATGTTTAGCCACTTTTCAATTGACCTCATCAGATTCCAGGAATTTTTCTATTGACCTTATCAGATTCCAGGAAATTTGAAAGCCTTGATCAATTAGGGAGTTCGAATCTCTTTAAACCACTGTTAAGTTTTTTCTTAAAATGACCGGCCATTTTAAAACATTTAATCACAGTGTTGACAGTATTTAGGGGCTTGTTTAGCATCTTGGAAATGTCTTTAGGCTCCGCCAAACCATTGGTTTATTTTTAATACTCATTTTCACATTTTAGGTGTTTTTTTTATTTATTTTTATTTTCAGAGTTTTATGTGTCAACAATAACAAATATGTGTGTAAAAATACCAAAAAAACATTTATTTTAAAATTACTAGATTTGCGGTTTGCATATAGTAAACTGATCCATATTTTGATGTTACTATCAACGTTGACGTTAAACTCAGAAGAATCATAAAATGTAGGGTAGAGCGGGTTAGCTAAGCAGAGGGGCAAGTTGGGCAATTAAAATATCTCAAAAACTACGCATCACATGACAAAACATATAATGGATAAAAGTTAGGGAACTAGAATGTTAACACAATGCACAATAAAATTTCTGGAGAGCAGTTGAGTAAGATACACTGGCACTTTTTCTATCTTAAACCAAAAAATTAAAAAAAAAAAATTTTTTTAGCTATATTTCTTTTTTAAACAAACTGAACTATTGAACACAAAGAAACAACTTTGATGAAAAATAATTTTGCTTTACATTATTTATATATATTATTAAAAATTATTCGTTTTTAAAAATGGACTTCAAAGTTCAAGATAGTTGTAAAAATAACATTTTTATATTTTATGACACTTTCTTACTAATTTATTATTCTCTTCTCTTACTTACGTCATTAAAGTGTATAAAATAAAAAATTTATAAATCATACACACACTAACTGTTAGTGAAAGTTTTATTAATGGTTTACCCTAGTTTTTTAACCTGCATATTTGTTGATTGCTCAACTTACCCCGCTTGGGCATGTTAAGAAGCTCCACAAACTTCTGGCAATATCTTCTCACAAAAGAAATAAAAACTATACTTTTTTCCAAACAAACTTATAGCAGGTTAAATTATTTTTCAAATATTGTAAATTCGATGCACCGTTCATGAGATCTGTTAGATTTAGTAAAAATTGTTCAACTAGCCCCGCTCTACCCTAATATGAAAATAAATAAAATTTAGAGACTACTCTAAGTAGTAGTTACTCTAAGTAGAGACTAATCTAAGCTATAGTTATTCAAAGCATTATTCTTGGGGATACATTATTTATATTATTCATACATGATATAAATAATATTTGTACCACCAGAGACAAACTTGAAAATATGTTGATGATATATTACCCTACTGCATCTACATAGAAGATGTAAAAAACCATCCTTAATCTATACTGGATGAGGTAGCAAACTGGGCCACTCTTAATGACATGAAACCTTTCAAAGTGTAAAACATTATCTATATAGAGACATTGACTGATCAAGTTGCAAAACCATTTAACCCTTATAAACTTGAAATTTGAATCAGCTGATAGTTACTATCTAGGTATCTTAATAAACAAAAATCTTAACTGGGATGAATAATGGATAATTCAAACTTAAAGTTCGTAACTCTAGTAATACAAATGCATATGTAGGCAATTAATTAGTAAGCAAGTAAATAAGTCAGTACCCTACTTAAAGTTCCTAACTCTAGTAATGCAAATGCATATGTAGGCAATTAATTAGTAAGCAAGTAAATAAGTCAGTACCCTACTTAAAGTTCGTAACTCTAGTAATACAAATGCATATGTAGGCAATTAATTAGTAAGCAAGTAAATAAGTCAGTACCCTACTTACCAAAGTTAAAAAATAAATCTACATAAGGTTTTTTTTTTTACTACTTTTTGAACATAAAGCTATACTTTCTTAAAAATTATTTTAAAGAAAGTTTTATGTTCAGAGGAAGTAAGAAAATCTTAACCATTTCAATATACTAAATTATTTAATAATGTAATTATTGAAGATTTAATAATTAATTTAAATTTCTTAATAACCATCTTAAATAATAATAATAAAAAATATTTCTTAATCTCAATAAATAAATAAAACATGTTTCTTTTAAAGAAATAACATTGATGTAGGAAAAAACTATAAAATTACCGCTAAAAATGTCAACTTCTGTTCATAGAACTCCATTATGTCAGAAAGTTTGGAATCTTTAATCTAAAAATATTTTCATTGAATAATGATTAAAAAAAGAAAAAAGTCTGATGTATTCTAAACAAACAATAAAAGTCTACAAATTTGATATATATTATTCTCAACTAACAGTAAGCCTACAAAATAAACTTCTTATATAAAAATAACTTCATTCACTTATTTAGATGAAAAAATAACGCAGCAGTAACGCAGTATCATACAAAATAAAAATAAATGTTATTTAAATTAAATTAAAATTATTTTAAATTAAAAGTTTTAAATTTGTGATAATTTGAGTCAAACTTTTAAACAAACATATACACTGTTATAATAAACAAAATAAATTTAGAAAATAAGGCAAAAAGTAAAAGTAATAGCAGATAGAACATTAAAAAATATATATATTTTAATGTTTGTTGTTAATAAAAGGAAAAAAAAAAAAAATCAAAGAATTCTCAACAATAATTTTTAAATTTGATAGCATTCAAGGTCTTGAAAAGAATTATAATAATTTAATAAAACAGCCATAATCAAATGGAGTTTTTTAAATTAACAACTTTTTATTTTAAGATGTAAGAACAGCACTACAAATTTGTTGAAACTACTTCATGTTTATCAATATACCTCATGTTTATCAACAATATACCTTCTAAATTTATTAATATAAGTAAAATGTATGCAAATAATATTTGAATTACACTAATGGTTAATAACAAATTCTCAAAGTTCTTTAAAAAGATGTTTATAAATTAACTGAATGGTCAACCAACTCAATTATTATGTTTGATATAAAAATTTTAAAACAATGCATTTTGAAAATCATCCTATAATATTTTAATACTGAATTTAATGCTGCTGGATCCGTTACTCATTCATGAGTGTTTGACACAGAAGTCACAGTAGCCATTATTGTACCAGAAAACGTAAACAAAAGTTTATGCAAATATCTAACTTATGCAAACTTCAAATTATGTAATGTTAAAACCAGGGGTGTGGAGTCGTAAAAAAAAGTAACGAATTCGACTCCACTTGTTAAAATTTTTTGAATACAACTCCGACTCCAATTTCAAAGCAAAATTTTTGAAAAATTCTTTGAACTCTTTAAAAAATATTATGCAATAAGTTAAATAATTTTGTTGATATATAAAGATATAATATACTATAATAAAAAAAAAAAAGAAAGCTTTTAAAAAGCTTAAATTTGCAATAAACATCAAAATAGCGGTAGAAATTTTTTGCGCATATGTCATGCAAGAGATACTTGAGTTATTAACGGACTTTGGTAAAAAGTCTACGCTTTCAACACATTTAAAGAGAAAAAATTTTTTTACAGGAAAAAAAATTTAATGTTCAAACTTTTATTTTCTTCAAAATTAAATAACGAGGTGAGGTTCCTAATAAGCTGTGGATAGTTTGGAAAAAAATTTAATAAGAAATTAATAGAAACTTTATCAAGAAAAAAAGTCTGTAACCATGTTTTTTTATACAAGTTTACAATTTTCAATAAGAAATTAAAAAATATTGAACATTAATTGTTAATTCATAAATTTTTATTTTCTACCACTAAATAGCAATTGGTCTCACGACTACGGAAACATTTAAAATTTTAAAGTTATGCTATAAATTATTTTTTTATTCATATTTTTAATAGGACAATATGTATAGTTTTTCTACAGCTTACTAAAAAATATTGGAGTAAGGTAAAAGTATAGAAATGGTTGGTATAGAATAGACTTATCATAACCCATACTTTACAGGTTCGAAATGCTAGTAACATATTATTACCATAAAACTAGCATCAAAAAACATAGAAAAAGACAGAGTGATATTAAACACTATGAAATGGACTCATCATGTTAATATTATTGAAAATAAAGATAAAAAAAACCTTTCATAAAAACGTATAGAACAACTAATGATTAAAAAATAATCAACTAAATTGCAGAATAGGAGCATCTACCATACAAAACTTTAATTAGCTATTTTAAAAGCCAAACACATAAAAGATCATATTCTATACTATATAATACTTCATGAATTATGTAAAATCTGAGTAAATAAAAAATAAGCAAATTCACTTTCAGGTTATGGTCCAGCTGTAAACATTAAAGTATATGGTCCAGTTGCAAACATTAAAACACTTAGTAAAGCTGCAAACATATGAGATTACAAAGCTCACATAGATATAGGAGCTAATGAAAGGTAACAAACCATGTGAAAACTTTCATAATCAAATCTTTCAATATCATAAATATATCTTTAAATATTTGCAAAGCATTAAAACTACTTTAAAATTAAATAAAAACTTGATAATCAAGGGCTCATAATAAATTCAACGTGCTCCTTAAGGTCCAACTTGCTATTTTAGATTCAATATTCTTTCTATGTTCCTTATAGAGCTTTTTGAATTTCCTGTTACCTTATTAAACTTTTTAAACTTAACAAAATAAGATTTCTAATGATCATCACTAGACTGCCAAATTTACAAAATTTTAATCTTAGAGTAAGGCACTGGAAACTAGTGGAAGAAAAAAAAAATTTTTTTGTTTTGCATTATTTGACAATTTTTAAGTTAGGATTACTCAATAAATTACCTTTAACATTTATTGAAACTTTGATCAAGTTTTTTTTTTTTTATTAAAAACTTTTCTGATTACATTGCCATTTTGAAAGCATAGCTACAGCATATTGAATTTAATGCAAATCACTAACATTGATGATTAATGCAAAATCACTAACATTGATGATTAATGCAAATCACTAACATTGATGATTAATGCAAAATCACTAACATTGATGATTAATGCAAAATCACTAACATTGATGATTAATGCAAAATCACTAACATTGATGATTAATGCAAAATCACTAACATTGATGATTAATGCAAAATCACTAACATTGATGATTAATGCAAAATCACTAACATTGATGATTAATGCAAAATCACTAACATTGATGATTAATGCAAAATCACTAACATTGATGATTAATGCAAAATCACTAACATTGATGATTAATGCAAAATCACTAACATTGATGATTAATGCAAAATCACTAACATTGATGATTAATGCAAAATCACTAACATTGATGATTAATGCAAAATCACTAACATTGATGATTAATGCAAAATCACTAACATTGATGATTAATGCAAAATCACTAACATTGATGATTAATGCAAAATCACTAACATTGATGATTAATGATGCACTTTAAACCAAAAATTAACATGTTGATGACAGCCAGGCATGTCTATTTAGCTTTGATAAGAATCTTTTTTGAAACTTCTAACTATTTAAAGTATATACTATTTAAAAACACATGTGAAAACCAAAATAATTAAATCAACCTAATTTTTTAAATATCTGCATTTCAACAAATCAAATCACTAACAAATTTTCTCTTTATTGCAAGAATGCAATAATAAATGCACTTGTAAAACCACAATCTTGTATATGTTGCAAAGAGGGTAATTAAAGGATTTCATCTTAAAGCTTTTAAACTTTGTTTTAGTAATTTTATAGAAAAGAAAATCAAGTTAAACATTTTTACATAAAAAAGACTCTTGATATTACCTGTTTTTAACATTTTAATATTTAACATTGTTAAATATCTTACCATCAACCAAAAAAATATCACTAATTCTTTTTCTTAGACATAAGACATGCAAAATAACTTCTTATTTGGAAGATCTTTACTTAACCTATTGTGTCAATATATAAGTTAAATTTAATAGTTACCCAAGAGTTTACTAACTTGAGCTAAACATGTAGAATTTTTATAAAGAAAAAGTAGAAAAAAATAAATAAGAATAGCTGAGCATTAAAAAATTGTGGAAGAACCTGGAAAACATCAGAAATGATAGGAAATGCCAAAGAAACAATAGGAAAACATTACAAAAGAACAATTAAATAGAACTCCTTAACATTTTCTGTCATATCAATTATTTCAAACAGAAAACTTGTGAATTAAAATTGACTAACTCAAATGTTAGTACCCTAAAAATAAGAACTTAAACACGGAAGTGCATTCAGACTGTTAGATTTAATAGTTGAAAACCATTAATAATGTAAAGGATTGGAAACAATAAAATATTGGAAATAATGCAATACTTGCAAGTAACTTAGCTAATAGCTTTTGGCATTTTATTGAAGAAGGAACTGCTGTCACTGTATTTCAGGTTCAGACTGAAGGTTAATTTTATAAATATGCAAATACTAAATGTTTGTTTAAATACTGAAAAAAAAAAACCTTTAGTATTTAAACAAATAAAATAAAATATTGAATGTTTGTAATACAATTCTATAATTACGCAGAACTTTTTGGTTTATTTTTATTTACTTTTTAATTAACAAGACAATTGGCCATGTGTATCAAACAATAAATTTACAGTCAATTTACAACAATTTACTATTTTCTTACAGTCAAAATAACATATTTGCCAGAATACAATCAAAATGGTGCAGGTTTATACAGTTAAATACTGAAATAAAGTAAATGCTGTTCTTAGTTATGGTTTTTATATGGTTTAGTATAATATTCTTCAAAAAAAAAAAAACTATTCAATGATCCTTTTAAAAGAATTTTAGCATAACTTTTTAAACTCTAACTCCATTTTGAATTATTTTAATATTAAATACTGCACAAATCAATTGCATATTTCAAAGTTTTTCCCCACAAATTTATAAATTAAGATAGAAATAAAATATAAACTTGGACTTGCAACATTAGTTTTTAGTACCTTTGCATTTACTTTTTTCATAACTTTAAGACAGCAGAACTTATTTTATTAAATTTTATTTGAGATTACCTCTAAACCTTTTTTTAAATGTTCAGTTATTATTGCAACGCTTGCTGACTGTGAATGATTTCCTTTATTAGTAATGTCACTTAATGCAGGTATAGGTGGGACAAAAATTGGTTGTGTAGAAACTTCTTCCTCAAACTGATGCGATTTTAAAAGATCTTCTCTTGATTGGTTGTAGTTTACTAAAATCTCACCAACCCTAAAATAGCAAATTAAATTACATTTACATTCATATAAATAGCAAATTAAATTACCTTTACATTCATATAAAAAAATATTTTTAACAATTAAAGCAAAAAAAAAAAAAAAAACTTTTTTTAATTTTCTGCATATCTTATTACTAAAACATTTCATCTCTAAAAATATTTTTCTTCACCTTTTTATATTTAAAATTTCTTTGATAATTTTATAAACTAACTTAAAAATGAAATACTAAATAAAGTCAAAAATGTTTATATTATTGATGAATTTTCATCAACTTTTATGCCTCATCAAAATTAATGAGATAAATTAGCTAAAATTTAAAAAACTAAAAATGTTGAAGTTTTTTAATTAGATCTCTTCTTTATAAGGCCAAAACTGCATGCAATTTCATTAATAATTATTGTTTTAATAAGTAAATTATTGTTTTAATAAATAAACTATTGTTTTAATAATTAAATTATTGTTCTAACAATTAAGATTATATTTTAATAACTGGCAACAAAACAATAACAGCAACAAAAAAATCTGAAGTTAATCCTAAGTTAACAGAATAAAGTACCTTATAAATAGGTATAAGATTATAATTAGCTGAAACTAAGTTTTATTTTATAAGCTGTCAAGATGTCAACTTCTTTTTAATAATTACATGCCTGGGATAATGAAATCTATATCATCACTCTACTCATGGCTTGTGCAACTTTGGTAATAACAATGCAACTGTTTCTTATTTTTCTAATGAGAGTACAGCTTTGAAACTCACAGCTTAATTGTCCTAAGGTCAGGTTGTACTATGGTTTCCTGAACACTATGGTACCTCTAAGAATAGCTGCATCTATCTATAAAATATAAAAATATTATCAGTAGGTAGTTTAGACCATACTGTAATCTTGCTAAAAAATTTTGTCTTTAATCATAAGATTCGCCATCATACTTACTATTACTACTTTAAAGCTAAATGAGATTTCTTACATGATTGTGTTTTGGTAGTACTCGAACTAATGTATCTCTCTGGTAAAAATTAGGTCTTTTATGCAATTCTACACAATCTAATGGCTACACATGACGTCTAAAGAAAATATTAACATATTGATTTCCTCCTTTTTGAAGAACAAGAAACAAAATTCCAACTTGCATACATGGGTCTGATTATATTACAACTTTCAAGGAAAAGCCAGAACTCTATGCAAAACTTTTAACTTTAAACACATTTCTTAAATCTAATGGCCACACTCTTTTTGACATCCAAAGTAAAGATTAATCTATTGCTAAGAAAGTTTAACCCATTGTTAGATCCAAATCACCTTAGCTTTTCAACAGCTTGTGATTAAGACAATATTTCTGTCACACTAATAAAAAAAGAATAAAAATGATTTTTTAAATTCTCATTAATATTCTCTTTCAAACTCTTTCAATTATGTATTATGTATCTTATCTTGAGTTTAGTAAGTTACTCTCTGGCAACCAATATGAACTTCACTACTCTAGTTTTATTGCTGAACATGTAACCATTTAAACAGAAAGATTCTAAATAAATAAGGCAAGCGGTAATTACTGGAAAGTAATTCTGAAATTAATTCCTGAAAGTGTAAACAAAGAAAATATTTGAATGCAATAGCTAGTGTTAATGCAAAAAAAAAGAACTTCTTTTCAATAAAAGAATGCCAGTCCAAACTCTTACCCTCAATCAATGTATGTACACTACACTATACCTATGGCTATATCTGTTGATGTATTTACACTTTGATGAATCTCTTAAAAGAAATTTTAAAAAAACAATAATTAATATACAATAATATAGTAACTAATAATCAAAAATAGTTATTTTGACAGAAAAAAATACACTGCGGGACATAATAAGGTACCCCACAAATATTTATAAAACTAAATACATTTATATCTAAAGACTAATTTTTATTGTAAATGAAAGCAAAGGGTTTACAACATTAAATAACATTTTAGCAAATTTATTTTTAATGTAACTCACATTTTATTTAAAAAACCCCATTTTTTCAGTGCGACAAAATTATAAGAAAATTTTACAAAAAGACATTTTATTTACAAACTGCAGTTGTGGGTAATTACAAATATTTATTTGATGTGAACACCACAGACGATTATTTAACTGCAAACTGTAGTGAACTGCCAAAAATTTAATTCAGGTTTTTTTTTACTAAGTATGAAATAACAAAATTAATTAATAATGGGTTGCGCTGCATCATTGAGTCCAGATGTAAAAAAAGTCCTCTCTAACTTATTGAAAATGGGTCATTTTGTTAGTTACATGGCTAGAACCATTGGATGCAGCCAAACAGTGATTAAAAACTAGGTTAAAAGTCCTTATATGTATGGAATAAAAAAAAGTCCCGCACCTCCATCAACTTTAAGTGATTGTGATAGACGAAGGTTGTTGAGACAAGCTTTAAATTCTTCATTAACTGTGTGTCATATTGCTGCAGAAGCAGGAGTGATTGGTAATTTACATACAGTTTAGCAAGTTATTTAATGCTTTTCACCTTTTGTGCAAAAAACTTCAGTGAAAACCACTTTTCCAAAGGATCACATAACATGGAAAGATGAGTGGCAACGAGTAGCATTTTCTTACAAAAAACAATTTATTCTTGATGGGCTAGATAGATGAAATTATTATTTTTATGATTTGCATAAAGAACCAGTAACACAGCAATGATGACAAATAGGTGGTGGCGGTGTAATGATTTGGTATGCGATTGGGTATCATGATAAATCAAAATTTCATTTTATTAACAAAAAAATAAGCTAAAGATTATTTTTTAATTGTTCAAGAATTTTTATGACGCGAAGCATCTGTTATTGGCATTGAAAATTTTGTTTTTCAGCAAGATAATACTAGCGTTCATACAACTAATATAGTAAAGGACTATTTCAACAGCAGTAAAATTGAAACATTAAAGCGACCAGCTAGATCTCCAGACCTGAACATTATAGAGAATGCTTGGGCACAGCTGTCACATATAGTGTTTGAAGGTGGTAAACAATATAGTTCACTAGCTGACTTGAGAAAAATGTCAGTTGCATTCCATGCATTTGCATGGGATGCAACTGACATTTTATGGTAAAATTACTGATTTTTTATAATAGTCTTTTATAAATAGAGAAGTCCTTTCTTATAAAAGACAATTATATAAATTTTTTCCAAAAGTGTCTTAAATTTTTTTTGTTTAAAATAGATTTTTAGAGTTATGATCAAAATGAATTTTTTTATAATCTTGTAAACCCTTTGCTTTCATTTACTATGAAAATTAGTTTTTAAATATAAATGTATAGTAGAGTTTTATAAATATTTTTGGCCTTATAATTATGTCGCGCAGCTTAAGTACACTTCAAAATAGAACATAAAATTTCAGAAAAATATAATTTACTCCTAGAGGATCTGAACCTACAACACTGCCTGAAAAATTGTATTTATACCCATGAAGCGATGCAAATTTACAACATTGGAATTAAATAAAATTTTTCTCAACAATTCCTGCTGGTAATTAATATAAAAATTATTTGCCTGCACTGCCAGCAGTTACCTTTTACAAATAAATAGTTAAATCAAACAATGAATAAGACAAAAGTATTCCAAGAATTTTTGAAATTAAGTTTTTTTAAATAAACAGTGAAAAAGCAAAATGAATGATTAAACAGCGCATGAAAAAACAAAACAAATGAATAAATAGTGAATGATAAAAATAAATAAACACATATGGATAAAAATAAATAAACAGCAAACAAAAATGCGAAAACAATGAGTGACAAAAATGAACGAACAAATCATAAATTTACATTTTATAATTTTAATTTAATCTTCTAACATTTTTGTTTGAAAATCTCTTGATTTAAATCCCTCAGCAAGAATCTGTAAACCAGCATGAACAAGATACTTTGAATTACTGAGAAGAGCATGACCAAGAAATGAATGCAACCTTTGATCTTGTAATAAAGATGCGTATTTTTCCTGCAAATAAAAAAATTACGAGACATTCTTGTATGTTGTTTTAACAAGTTAATTTCATTAGCTTGTTAAAACATATAAGTTAAGACTTTAATGATTAATTTTTATCTTGAAAATAAATATTTGACTAAAAACCTACCACTCCAGATAAAACTGCATGCTTAATCTTTGATAATAGTTCTAGAGATCTCACAACCAAAAAGGAAAGTTCTTGGCTAAAAATATATTAAATGTGAACTTATGTCTAATTAAAATATCACTGATGTCTTCATACTGAAATAGGGATAAAAAGCCACTTTAGTACATACAACAAGTTTGATACTTTAGTACATACAACTAACAAGTTTGATACTTTAGTACATACAACAAGTTTGATACTTTAGTACATACAACTAACAAGTTTGATACTTTAGTACATACAACAAATTTGATGGGCATTTATCAGATTATTAATCATTTATGCAAATAAACCTATTTAAACAATTTTTTTTTTTGCTTTTTTACATTTATCTTATTTTTCTGTAAAGTGTATTAGTTTAGATAAGAATATAGTAGTACCACATAGATCTATATCTTTAATAGTAAATGTTTGTTCTTTTATGAATATTTTTCTTAATCTTAACTAACCTGCACACATAAGATGGATTTCTTAGCAAGCGCAACTCTTCTGAATATAACTCGTAGACTTTAAAAACCAATTGAGTAACTTTTTCACTACAAACACTATTTGCAACTGTGACTTTATATTTTTCATCTTCACATAAATGTGCAAAAGGAGTTAAAAAATAATACTCAAAAAAGCAATGGACTGATTGTCCTAAACAAATACTGAGAGTGTCAAAACAGATAATTATCAAAATTCTACATAAAACAACAAAATTAAAAGAAAGTATTTTTATTGCTTTTATGATTGAAAACTACAATTAAAAATCTCTAATAACGAATAGCAAAACTACAATTAAAAATCTCTAATAATAAATTAATCATCTCTAATAATAATAATCTCTAATAATAGTTATCTCTAATAATAAATTAAAAATCTCTATTAATAAATAAATAAAAAAATAGTTCTAATACCTTTTCTTCAAACTTGAAAATATACAAAAAAGAAAAATAAATAATAATTAAATAATAATAAAAATAAAAGAGGATTAAACTACTAATTATATAAAGAGATGCAGCAATTAGAATAAAAGATTGTTAATAATAAAATACAAATATAAAATAAATTAATAACTATCCTCACCCCTTCCCAAAAAACTCTATGTATGGGTAGTTCTGCGAGAAAGAGGAAAGAAAAAAAGCAAAAAAGTTATGAAAACAGACTAAACTCCATAATTTTTTTTTTAACTATTTAAAAATACTTTTAGGCAAAAAAGTTATCAAAAAACAATCATTTTATCATACCATAACATAGTTTTAATAGGGTAAGGGTTGTAAAAACGTGTTTTGATGTGTATTTACAGTCCTGTTGTGTAGCGTTAAAAATCATATCATAGAACCATAATTGAGAGCTTTGATAATGTTATAGAGCATTTTTTAAACACAATTTAAATGACTTTAAATAATCATTTATACTTTATTCCTTACATCATTGATTAGGTCATTTTATTTGCTGTTTTTTAATATTAGATTTTTTGCTGCATTAAGTCCAAAAAAGTTGTTTTGTTCAGAAGTGGTAAAAAAATAATCATTACAACCGCTTTTGCATACTAAATTATATGACAGTATTTCACATTTCTGGAAAGTTTTGAGTCATTTCCATTTTTGGCTTATTTTTAATAGCCTAAAGAGTGTCAAATGTTACGTCTGTCACTCTCGAGGAATCGCCCATACATACATATATATATATATATATATTATATATATATATATATATATATATATATATATATATATATATATATATATATATATATTTAAACAATTTAAAATGTATTCTACAAAAAGAGTACTCAATGTTATTAAAAAAACAGAGCAATTACAAATTAGTAGAAAGTCACTTAACAAAATTTTTTCTCATTTAACACTGTGTTTCATCAATAAAGACTCATCAGAAATGAATGATCAAATTAATAAAACTTCAATTTATACCAAAAATTCAATTACAGGAAGTCACATGTCTTAACTACTGCAATTTTTCACACATTTGTGTAATTTGCTGACACTATTATAAAAAGAATTCTTTAGAAATAATTACTTAAGCTTTTTTAAAAAATATTATATTTTTTTCAAAGGGGAGTTAATGTAACTATTATTTGAGCTCACTTATTTTTATAGTTTTTTAGGAGAAACTTATTTTTGTGCCTGCATTTAGAAATCAATTCCAATTTTTTGTTTAATAAACATTCTTGGTTTGTATGTGTAATTATTTCAAATTTTTCTTGTAGACATAGTATGCATTTTTTGGAAATATTGTTATATGCAGGCACTGTTTTAAGGATGGACCAATTCAGTGTAAAATCATCAATATTTTTATCTTTTAATTCCCATATATATTTTGACAGCATGGTGTCTTTTGAATACTTTTTATTTTTAAAAGATTGCTTATGATTAGCAAAACGTTTTTTCCATTCACCTTCTGTTATGCCAATATATTGTTTATCAGGTACATTCTTAGAGGAGACAACACATTTATATACCATATTTTTTGATAAGCAAGTTGTGACCTTTTATAATTCTTTCCATATTTTTTGTGCAACTGTAGCTAACTTTAATAGTATTTCGATTAAAAATTTTATGTAATTTATTAGAGGGCGGGAAATGTTTATCGATCAGTTTCAAAAACACTTTTCCTATGTTTGTGGAAACATTTTTGCTATAGGCGGGGTTGAACCAAATTACATTTCTAGTTCTATTTCGCTTTTTTGCATTCTTTTTTTCAGGGTCAAATTTTAATTCAAAGTTTTCAAAACCACTTTTTTTAAGGGCATCTTCAAATATCTGTTTGGAGGAAGTGAATACATTTTCATTAGAGGAGTTTTGGTTAAGCCTGTTATTAATTGAAATCGGGATTTGTTTTAGAATTTGGGGTCGATGATTTGAGTTAATATTAATATTCAATAATTCATCGTTTGGTTTTTTGAAAGGCCTATATGTATTTTCCGAGAGGTTAAATGTGACATCAAGAAAATTCACAATTTTTAAATTTATGTTTATTTTAATTTGAGAGCCAATATTTTAAAAAATTTTTATAATATCTTTTCTAATTTTATCAAGCTGTGGACCAGATTTTTTACGCATTACTATTAAACCATCGTCGCGATAAAGGCCTAAATCATTTATATTGATTATTTTACTCAATAAATCTAAAATATATAATCCAACAAATCATCAATCAACAGGTTATTATTAAATACATTATTATTAAATACAAATTTTCAAAACAAAGTTCCTTGAAGGTTATTGGTTCTCTCAAAAAGTGAGATTGGACATGTAAGCAAATTTAAATTGGACAAAATTAATAATATTCTTAGAAATAATTTAAATTTGCAACAGTGGATAAATACCACTGATGTTATAAATTGGTTCTCCATAATCGATAATAAAAATGACTGTACATTTATTCAATTTGATATTAATGATTTTTACCCCTCAATAACTGCAGATATTTTAGATAAAACAATTGAATTTGCAAAAAGCCACACAGTTATTCCTGAAGAAACAATTCGCATAATAAAACATTGTAGAAAAACCTTACTTTATTTTAATAAGGAAACTTGGAAAAAGAAAAACATACATAACTGCTTTGATGTAACAATGGGCAGTTATGATGGAGCAGAAATTTGTGAATTTGTTGGATTATATATTTTAGATTTATTGAGAAAAATAATCAATATAAATGATTTAGGCCTTTATCGCGACGATGGTTTAATAGTAATGCGTAAAAAATCTGGTCCACAGCTTGATAAAATTAGAAAAGATATTATAAAATTTTTTTAAAATATTGGCTTTCAAATTGAAATAAACATAAATTTAAAAATTGTGAATTTTCTTGATGTCACATTTAACCTCTCGGAAAATACATATAGGCCTTTCAAAAAACCAAACGATGAATTATTGAATATTAATATTAACTCAAATCATCAACCCCAAATTCTAAAACAAATCCCGATTTCAATTAATAACAGGCTTAACCAAAACTCCTCTAATGAAAATGTATTCACTTCCTCCAAACAGATATTTGAAGATGCCCTTAAAAAAAGTGGTTTTGAAAACTTTGAATTAAAATTTGACCCTGAAAAAAAGAATGCAAAAAAGCAAAATAGAACTAGAAATGTAATTTGGTTCAACCCCGCCTATAGCAAAAATGTTTCCACAAACATAGGAAAAGTGTTTTTAAAATTGATCGATAAACATTTCCCGCCCTCTAATAAATTACATAAAATTTTTAATCGAAATACTATTAAAGTTAGCTACAGTTACACAAAAAATATGGAAAGAATTATAAAAGGTCACAACTTGCTTATCAAAAAATATGGTATATAAATGTGTTGTCTCCTCTAAGAATGTATCTGATAAACAATATATTGGCATAAAATATATATGGGAATTAAAAGATAAAAATATTGATGATTTTACACTGAATTGGTCCATCCTTAAAACAGTGCCTGCATATAACAATATTTCCAAAAAATGCATACTATGTTTACAAGAAAAATTTGAAATAATTACACATACAAACCAAGAATGTTTATTAAAAAAAAAATTGGAATTGATTTCTAAATGCAGGCACAAAAATAAGTTTCTCCTAAAAAACTATAAAAATAAGTGATCTCAAATAATAGTTGCATTAACTCCCCTTTGAAAAAAATATAATATTTTTTTAAAAAAGCTTAAGTAATTATTTCTAAAGAATTCTTTTTATAATAGTGTCAGCAAATTACACATGCGTGTGAAAAATTGCAGTAGTTAAGACATGTGACTTTCTGTAATTGAATTTTTGGTATAAATTGAAGTTTTATTAATTTGATCATTCATTTCTGATGAAACACAGTGTTAAATGAGAAAAAATTTTGCTAAGTGATTTTCTACTAATTTATATATATATATATATATATATATATATATATATATATATATATATATATATATATATATATATATATTTATATCTCTCTCTCTCTCTCTCTCTATATATATATATATATATATATATATATACATATATATATATATATATATATATATATATATATATATATATATATATATATATATATATATATATATATATATATATATAGAGAGAGAGAGAGAGAGAGAGAGAGAAAGAGAGAAAATTTTTTTTTGCATTTTATATATATATACATATATATATATATATATATATATATATATATATATATATATATATATATATATATATATATATATATATATATATATATATATATATATATATATATATATATATACATATTTTTTTTTTTTTTTAATTACCTTTGCTTCCAACAAGGTTGCAAGCAACCACTAATTAGTGTTGGAAGTTACTGGAAGAGAAAAGATGAAAATTGTAGAGGAAGATAACGATTGACAGACGACTTTAAATATTGCAAATTATATGAATCAGGAAAGCAAGATGAAGGAAGCGAATTCCAAAGAACTGATGTTCGAGGAAAAAAACTAGACGAATAAGAGTTTTTGGAGCACTTAGGAACAGTAACAGAAAAAGGGTGAGACTTAATTGAATGACGAGTAACACGAGAATGAATTTTAGTAGATGGCACAAGAGATGCTAGCTCTTTAGAGCAGTGCCCATTATAG